CCCCCCTCCCTTAAAACAATCTCAGCTGCCACACATCACCAATCGACCAGGCACACTAAACATAATAATTTAATTAACAAAGAACAGAGCCATTGCAGTGGAGTAAATACCAAAGGAAGAAACTCTATGTGACAGCTAGATGGTTGATGAAACACTGTGACATTTTTAGTATGTTTCTTGAGCTGTCAAGGTTTTCTTTTCTTTAAATATCTAAATACTACCACGGCTTCAGCGTTCTAAACTGCAGAGCGGTACTTGAGGATTTTTCACTATAATATATTCGCCTTCGGTGCGGTAATTAGTGTTAACTCTTTGAGAAGGTAGGGGACACATATGTCAGATCAGCACCAGAGCAAAGGAAATGTTTCGGCTCATTTCGAACCATCATGCACAAATCAGAAACAGGAGTTTGCATATTTGTGAGGCAGCGTGGTGGAATCAGGCTCTCGTCAAAATAATCAAAGTGCAAAAACTTGCATTTTTCCACAGGTTTGTGAATTTTTATCAAATTTTTGTTTTTTGGCTCAACACCTTTCATGCCCATTAAAGAACTAATTTCTGTGAGGATTTTTCTGAAAAACGTTGATTAAAAGCACAAAAAATTAAAATTTTCTATTACCACCGACTTTTAAGCTAAGGAAGTAACTAATCTTTGGCGGCCATTTTCTCAATAATTTTACCTCTGAAAACAGGTTACCCCACTTCCTTCATTCGCAAATATCTTGACTTGTATTCAAGATAAATGGATTTTTTTTTCATCCAAATCAAGACAAGTGAACAAGCTATATAAGATGACACCAGTAACTCTACATGGCCAAAAATTGACAACAGCCTGATTCCACCACGCTGCCTCACATTTTATAGTAAGCATGTTGGCACATGCCTTTTTTAACATTTCATTTAAGAAAAAAAAATTGAACAATCTGTTTAAATAATGAAGTCCTAAAACATTGCATAATCAATTTTAGTCGAATGATCAGAATGAGCGTCTTCAAAGAGTTAATCATCATAATACTACGTTACCTGTGTGAGATTTCCAGGCACCGCCCCACATCCCGCGTGGCAGGGCGAGAAGTAGGCGAGACGTCCGCCCACACACAACGGCTCCATGGCCTCAGTGGAGCAAGAGCAGTGACTGTTGCAGGGGGAGTTGAGAGACGGGTGGCCCGGGTCACTGAAACACATACACATACATATACATACATACATACATACATACATACATACATACATACATACATACATACATA